GACTTTCTTGCAACAAAAATGGCTGAGAACTAGTCCCTTAAGAGGAATTTTTTTTGTATATATTGGTATATATCGTCATTATTCATCATCACATATTTGTTAGTATTGCACAGGCTAGGTTTGCATTTACAGAAAGCAAATTGGAATTTAACGGTACAGTGACCTATTAGGGCTGAGACAGGATCCTTTCGACAGAAGAAGCCAATTGTTTACCGCTATTATTGTGGATGGATCTAAAAACAGCATCCAGGTTTGTTTTTGATGCGGGAACAATGTTGTAAAAGGTCAAAAAGTTGCATAATACGTCTCTATGGAGGAAAAAAGTTCAATCAAAGAACATTCCACACATACCATGAAGTGATTGTGACAAACAGTATATACAGACCCAAAATACAGTATTTCAACACGGCCTTAAACTCCTCATCAACATGAAGCAGCTGAAGATCAAACCCAAGAGCACACATGGGTTTGCACTGAGCACTCTCCGTTTACTTTAGGCCAGGATGATGTCGTGTTGTGTCATTTGACTCAGAGGGAACAGCGAGCAGCCACACCCAGAGACCAGAGACCGGAGTCTGTGGAGCTGTGGTCAGAACAATGGAAACAGATTTGACTCTTCTTAACCACAGAACATGAGGGGGGAAAGACACGCCCAAGTCCCAAAAGTCACCAAACTTGATCAAAGTTTCAACATGACTCACCCCCCTCCCCCTTTTTTTCTACTCTGGAGCTCCGGTTCAGGTGTACAGCAGGTCGAATGCTTTGTGACTGTATCTTGAGTGTACTTCTGAGGCTGAGTTTACACGGAGACAATGTGGCAGTAAAACGGTATAGTTGGATGTCAGTTTCTACCAACTGTTCATACGAAGACAGTGTTCCAGGTGAAAACGTAAGTGTTCAGATCCAGCCTGCAGAGTGGGACAACTCAGATACGCTGCACAGCGGGGAGCTTCTTCACACCCGCGAGAGGGGAATAGGTATGAAATCCCCCTCTGCTCTGACCCCCACCTCCGCGCTGCTCCCCGCACGTAAATTTGGACATGCGCAGTAGCGGAGAACAAACATCAACAATAATGGCGCCGCCCACACAAACTAGCTACGTGGGCTTCCAGCGCGGCACAGAGGATAATTCTACTCCTTCGTTCGTCCAAACGAGACCACGCGAAGCTCTAGGTTCAGTTTCCATGTTCACAGCTGCTGTTAAAATGCAGAATGATGTTGGTACTCTCTGAGGGTCTGGTACAGGAAGTGAGTATACTGCCGAGAGGGGGGCTGGGCACGGGGCTCGGGGTCGTGTGTCGTGTTGTAAAGTTTATCTGCCCACTACTGGCCGGGCGCTAGAACTACATCGTTTTTCAACCTCATGTGAACGCTGAGAAATTTGCATTAGGAGCCAGGTCGTTTCTGTTAATAGCCTGGAAACGTCTGCGCAGCGTCTCAGTATAAACAGGGCCTGAGTCGATAATTGTGTGTCCAGTAGATTATCTCCACCTAAATGTCTTTTGAAATTCTGCATTTATCTGCATCTGTTTTAATTTTCTGTACTGAAGAAGGCTAGTCCTTCTTCCATTAAAGGAGTTTTATTTACTATCAGAAGTTCCTTGGATGGAGTTGAAGTGAAATCCATTGTTTAATCCTCTTAGGAAGCCTCTTTTCTCACATGTTTCCAGTGTTTCTTCACTGCTGATCCTGATAAGAACCTGACAAAAACCCACTTTTTTAAACTTTTACAACTTTTCCCTTTTTGTTCTGCCCTCCATAACCTTGTTTTCTGTTGAGAATTAGGCAAAGACATACATTGTGGCTGATAACAGAGGGACTCAGGGTTTAATCAAGCCATCATCTGCCAGCCCAAACTACTAAATCATTCATAAAGAATCTCGCAGACGAGTTATGCAAATGGGGAAAACTGCGAGGATAAGCACGTTGTTTCCCCGGAGCGCAGATCGTTGTCGGTCAGATTAGGTTTGTGCGCCAGATTAAAATCAGACATTTGGGAAAAAGATGTTTCCTTTGTCGACAGACGGCTAACCCGAGGTGACTGTTCCAGGAAGTAGCAAAGTTCTCATGGATAAGAGCAGACAGTGGAATGGGAGTGCCAGATTGAATATGTGATTACGGCCACAGCAAGACTCCGACAAATAAAACAGGCTGAACAATTTATATAGACGCTTTATTGTGTATAAAAGCAATCATCAGGTCTACATACACACTGTCTGTAAAAGTGTTTTGGTTTCGTGTGTCTAAATAGCATGTGAAAGCCTAATCCCGTCAGATGTCAGAAGCTAAGCAAGACGGGGCCTGGTTTGTACTGTGATGGGAGACCTCTGTGAACACCTGATGCCACAGTGGGACAGCTGTAAAGTGCCAAACTGTCATTGTGTCCTTAGGCAAAACCCTTCATCCACATTGTTTAGAATGAGTCTGCTGTGAGTGAATGGTTGGTGGTGGTTGGAGGGATGGTGACAAGATTAGTTGTCTCCCTTCTCTCACTCTGCCCCAGGACAGCTATGGCTCCTGTAATAGCTTACTTCCACCGTGTATGATAAATGTGAAGCAGAAACGTATCCACAAACGGGCTATATAAAACCTCATTATCATTATTATTAAATTGGTACATATTTCCCATCCCTAGTGTTTATTTATATGAACAATGACTAAATGAATCAGTAACATACAATTGCCTGCTGTATAATTATCAATTACATTATCCTTCAGCATCTCTTTTTCCACTGGTCCAATCCTATCCACCTCAAAACGCTGTCGAAAAGTAGAACCAATCTCTCCTTCTGCTGAACTCATCCTGTTGTGATCTTGGCTCAAAGACAATGCGCCCTACGCTCGATTCACTTCTGTCTCTTTTATCTAAATCCCCATGTCTAATTCTCTTTCATCAGCTTCTCCCGACGTGGCCAGGAGGGTTGTCATGGCGATGGAGAGAAAGCAGCGGCGATGCGGCGGCGGCGGCCTTGGCTCGGACTGGAAACCTGAAGGAGTGCGGAATGTGCCGATTCTCTGCTCGTTGCCTACGTCTATTCAACGTCCAGTCACCCCCCGAAAGAAAAGAATGGGCCGGAGAGAGTTCAGTGATTGGCTGATGCCCTGACAGTTGTTGCGGTGCAGCGACCTGAGATGTCTTTGTTTGATTTGTCTGAGCCCTTAATGCTTTCATTGGATTAGCGGCACATGGAAAGAGTTAGGCGAGGTAATACTTGTAGCCTCCGTCATTATTCGGCGTGACTGAGTGGGCCCAAGTTGAGAGAACCGTAAAAGCAATCCTGATTGATGAATGACGATCCAACTTTTATGACAACAGACAAAATCCACTTGTTACTTCTTAAACACACACTCAGACTGTTATTTCAAGAGAGATTCAAGCATCTTTGAGAAATCTTTGATCAACAGTAGTCAAAAAAACATTGCTCCACCATTCAGGTCTATGGAGAACCAAAACTGTCATAATAATAAATGTCAAATTGGAAAATGCGTGATTTCTGGACAATAAGCCCCTACTTTTTTATACTTCTTTAAACCCTGCAGCTTATATAGTGGTGGAGTGGCTAATATGTGTATTTTTATTCTGATATGAGTTGTCAGAGCAGAGTTTACGGACTTAACTGTTTGACTATATCCAGTTGTATGGTCAGAATAGATGAAGGTGAATGAGTCATGCAGCCTATATGTGGACAAAATATACGTTATTTTAAATTGTTGATGGTGCTGCTTGCTTACAGGTGTGCTTAGCAGTCCAGAACGTACGCTAATTATCAAGATATCATCAAATAACTATAGTTATTGGCTTTGTTTTATTTTGTTTTTAGCACAAAACAAGCATTGATGAATAATTAGTAGCAAAATATTGATAATTATTTTCCACTTGTTGTTTTGGTCGTCTACACAGGTCCTTATTTAAGTTATAATAAATAGCAGCCTTGATCACACGCTACATGCAAATGAGACCATGATCTTCCGTAAAACTTCTCACAAACATAGCGGTCTTTTGTTTTGCCAACACGGTTCATTCTGTGGTCAGTGAGCTGAGAGCGGTCGTCTACCTTCCCATAAAGCTTTGCACTTCTGATGCACTTTCTATAGTCATATGCAGAAGTGAGAGACTGAAAACAGGACATAGAAATACATCCAGAATGTGATGAGGGTTTCAGTGCAAAACAATAGCAAAGAATAAAAGGTCAGAAACTTAATTGAGCGAATAAAAAGTAACCAGTATTTGCTCAATGGAACTATCAAACAGAGACATAACCAAAAAACTTACTTTTCTCAGCTTTTGACCATGTTTTCAATTATTATTACCTTATACTTGTTATTTCATTGTTATATTGATGCATTTCAAATTAGTTGGGCATTTTTTAATTAAATAATTAAACTAATCCAAGATGTTTTTAGCGAGATTCATGCACGGTTCAGTTATTGATATATGCTCATACACTTGCACCACCATTGCTCTCCACTCAGTCCTCTGACCACAGCAGCCTTACACCTCCCCCCAGGGTTTAGAAACTTTCTTTGGCAGTTTTCTGAATCCATGATATGATATGTGGTGGGGCTAAGGGACAAAAAGAGGAAGAGGTACGCAACATGTTTCTTCAAGAACGGGGGGATTAAAAAGACCGGGTGGCTCCAGGTTTACATTCCAACCAAGCAGGAGCACAGCAGACTCCATCCACTTCCTCAGGTCTCCAGGTTCAGACTGGACTCACGTGAGGAAATGGGTGGAGCCTGGTGTGCTCCTGCTTGGTTGGAATGAAAACCTAAAGCCAGCCAAGCCTTTGAGGACCGAGGAAATCATAGTTTTAGCTCAATCAAAACATTTCATATGAACCATGTATAAAGAGCGATGGGGTCATGGATTACCAAATTTCATATAACAAACTCTTATTTCCCCTTTAAAAACATATTTCTGATTCAGTATTTTAGTTCTGCACATGCACACAGACTGATGAACGGACGAAGGAGCCATGGATGCAGGCAGAGTGGATTAC